TCTGCCAAACCTCTGGATACGGCCCTGGATGTAATTATATTTTCCGCATCTCGACTTGAAATTATATTATTACCGATGGAATATTTAAAGTAGCCCCGAAATGGCATTTGTAATTACGTCTGGCATGTCAATTACTGGTGATGGGTGTGAAGTTAATGAAAGCATTTAATTTGCGAAGCTTAGTATTGAGGAACTCTGTTAGGTAGCGAATCTATTCGCTGGTGTGCCACAGCTTGTAGTTACCATACGACAACGCAATACTCAATCGGTAGAGCAGGATCTGAACATTCTCACCTGGTTTGAAGGTCAGGCTATCCCAGGCTAGGCGGCACTGGTGATAGAACAACAATAGGCCTACTAACACACGTTCTACTGCAAGGACGTGCTATACAAAGCAGAACATCGCGCTCATATCAAACCTGTTCCTGATTCCCACAAAAATTTACAGATACAGGTAATTATTTCTTTGTCCGCACGCAGACGTTATAACCCCGCTTTGCTAATCTGAGGGTGCGGGATTAACTGGAGTTTACTCCATTACTGGGGTCTGCGTGGGCTCGGACTAATCATTTCTATGCTCATTCTTAGACACACCCGAGATGTGAGCTTCCGCTGCTGTTTCATATGATTCTAAACTTTGATTCTTGATTTTAGATATTGATTATGATTTGATCATGATAACGGAGGCCGTACCAAATAGTAACCTAAATATAATCAAATAAAAATAAACATTTAAACTGTATATAACCAGCGTTCGTACATACGCCATAAGCGTAACGTTGGAGGAGCAACTGTCAACTAGAAGCTTGAAAAAAATGAAATCTTATTGAATGCAAATGACCCTAAAATAATTGTAAATCATCATGTAGTTGTCCGAGAAACGTTCGTTTCGCATACACCCACTCTCCTCGGCTTACCATATGCACGTAGTTTGGGAGCTGCGTCACTTCCTTGTCATTGCTCAGCAGTGGTAGATATGGGGGGGGGGCGACCAGCCACCCTCCCCTTATACCACAAAAACGGATAGTACTTCTTGAAATAAAATAAATTAAATGGAAGTACGCATGAACAAATACATTTGTTATTTTTCGCAAAAGCAAGCTAAAAAAAGATACTTTATTCGGGGGAAATTTATTCTCTTGCGAAGTGTAATTTAGAAATGAAAAGAACCCGCGATATCTAGTATAGTAGACGCTTAGCCTCGGTTTCGCGTTCTTTCCCGCTACCACTATAAATTACACCATTGGTATATCAGATATTGATTACATGCTCTGATTTTCTAGAGGCATGCAGCCGTTAGCCCCCCAATTAAAAAAATTCTGGGCCCCTTACATAATATACGTTACCTCGATCTACGGCCATGGACAACTGTTCTGTTATATAGCTGTTGCACATCAAAACAATGCACGAATGTAAACAGCGTTAGTTTACCATATCAATCTTCAAGGAATGGTCGAAGTGCCAAATTTACCTTTATTAAAATAAATATTAGCTTTGCACGGGAAATCTCCTACATTTAATCGCGGTGGTCCGTCGCTATACCGATACTCTTCTTAAATATAATTCAATATCATCCGTGATTTGCCCTAAATAACTGGTGCTGAACGAATATCTGCTGCAGCGAACAATTACACTTACCATAGTTTCAAAACTTTAAAAAAGTCACTTATAAAAGTTCATAGTTTCGCTGCTTTGATCACAAGAAAGCTACGCCGTGCGTCAGCATATTATTTATGCGTGTATATGATATATATATATATATATTATATATATACTATATAGCGTTCATTGTGCGGGTGCGCGCGTGTATTAGTAGATAGTAGATTTCTATATATAGTAAATATATATATATATGTAGTACTATATATATTTCTTCATATAGTAGATATAAAGAAACAACTTCATGTATATATGCCGGCACATCTCAAGCCTATCATATTTTCATCTCATATTTAATGGAATTTCACTTTTTTGTTGTGTCGCTTGCTTGATGTTTTACGATGGGTGTCAGACGCTGCAAACGAGTTACCGCCCATACCGTGGGCCACCCGATACGCGACATACAGAATAACCGCAAAACTTCCGATGACAAGCGAAAGAACGAAAATTATCACATCGACGAGCCAGTATTGGAAGAAGTTGAGATTCCTGGACTCGGAAATAAGATGTGCTGCCCCCTGGGTGTCAATTGTGTAATTAATCCAGGTCTTGATGGTCTCAGCTGGGTTCATCGGCTCCGCGTGATATATCTGTGATGCCCTTTGGATTGCTGCTCGATACCTAAACAAACCCGGGTAGAACAGTGGTCAAACTTACGTAGGAATATGCGCAATAAGATTACTTACGATTTCTTATCATTCCTAATCAATCAATTCATCACAAAACACGCTCACTTTCAACTGCGGACATTACACAGGTGGACACGAACCGCACAATCACGAACGCCGTTATGCACGGCACATGCAGTTATGTGTAGGCGCCTAGAGATATGAATGGAGGAGTTACGTATATACACACATATATATTTATTTACAATCATATGCGCGTATGCACACATTCGTATGTACGAAATGCACACACACTCACGCCCGCACGCACGCACGCACGCACACACACACACACGCACGTACGCACACACACACACACACACACACATTCTACATTTACACACTCGTTACACGCACCCATTTTCTAAGACATCCTTTATCGCAACTCTGAATTTCTGCGTCGTAAAACTGCTTGCGAAATCCACACGAAGTCCGAAGCCTCTGTTGGCCATGGCGGCGACGTTCTGTGCTGCTCAGCAGCGAGCGGGCATGGCGACCATGGGAACGGCGTGGTAGATCGCCTCCCACAAACCGTTCTTACCACCGTGCGTGACAAATGCAACCGTCCGTGGGTGACCTGAAGTGTAGGATAAACATGATGATACATAGTGGTAGCGTGTACGGGTAGCACCAAAAAGATGTGGAAAATGTAGAAGAATAAACACTGTGATATGTTACACACTTATGTGTGTGTGTGTGTAAGTGTTGTTAGGTACACACTAGGTGCTAATAAACATTTGAGATATATAAGTAGCGTCTGTGGCAGGTGGCGCCTCAGAAAATTATTCACAGAGGGTGCCAAGTGGGGCCACGCAAATCTTTTAGGTGGCATACTAAAAAAAAAAAAAAACGTAACCCAATTTAATAATCTATTTATTATATAAATCTATATCTATTAATAATGGTGTATGTATAGCAGACATATTTTGATCTCATATGACTGTAATGGCAACTCTCAAACAAGCAAATCTTGTTTTACATGTGTACCGTATGACGTATCGCCGCCCCCCCGTAATCTCACAGTAGCTAAATAGTGTAGCCATTTATATAACGTACTTTTCCTTGACAAGTTACTGTAGTTAATTTTGATTTAAATGCAACAATACATTGAAAAATCACTCCCAAAATATTTTTGATATTGCCTTTTATTGTGGCAGCTGGCACAGATTTACAGCGACAGGTTATAATAGGTCCATTTAAAATAGCAGTTAAACTATTAAACAATTAAACGAGTTCCATATTAAGCAATATTGGCCTAAAATATTCAGCAAGCCTTGCCATTTTTCAACAAAATCTGTATGAACAGAAATGAAAACATTGAAAACAAACAATGCGGACAATACATGAACAGTTTCAGATACGATTCATTTGGGCAAATGAATTACAGAATTGGATTGCTTTGTTTTTACTTGAAAATAAAATAGATGCAACTATTTCGATAGAGATTTCTTGGAAGTTATGTATAAAAACCAACTACATTTTTTCATACTTAATGAAGATGAAACTTAAGAGAGGGTTTTGCATTAAACTAATTCACAATTAATATACGCTGCACCTGTCAACTCTTCAAAGTAGGATGTATCTTCCTGTTCGTTGTGTCTTTTTCGAGCAAACACATCCACAAAGTCATCTAAGACTATGCATTTGGATCTTTTGACTCAGATACTTAACACCCCTAAGTTGCTCAGTCGCCATCACTCATCGAATTTCTTAGACGTCTTGACCGCATTTTAGAACAGAAAAAACTAACGCCTCACAAGCTGCAGTACATTACAGGTAGCGCAAGTGCCAATTTTGCAAAGTTTAACATCTCCAGGAAATAACTTCTCCATATGGCTCAAGAAAGGACTGTGAGTTACAGTAAACTGGATGGTGTTTCAAGCCACTAGTTTGGCTTCCCCCCAGTATACCTTTTTAAGTTGAGCGGATTTCAATTGCAAGATCCTTCAAGTGTTGCACAATTGTATTGTGATCGCCAAAGACGTAAAATTACAGTTTCTCAGCAAAATGTGGAACTACCTGGATCAAGGTGCCTGTATAGCCTTCCATTATCGACACAACTCTCCTTTTTGAAAATCTTGCTCCTAAATTTCTGAGAGAAGGAACATCAAGGCAATTGGAATGAACGAGCCCCGTCCTAAAGACCTTATCTGTGTGACCTGTCTCTGAGCTAATTTGTGTTGGATATGTAATAAGCTATCAAGCCTAGAGCTTGGTTGACTTGCGTCTAGATGCCAACACCAACACTGCATTGTTCCAGCGAGAGCCATCCATTGTCCCCAAATTGTCCATTAACAGACAGAGCGCCTTGCTCGACTACACTGTTCATGTGTCAACAAGTGAATCCACATAGGGTAACCGGCTACACCCAAATTCAGTTGTGGGGACTCGCTAAGCATCAGACAGATACTTAATCTTACCAAAAACTTGTGTCATGTCAGAAGGAGGGCCAATGGAACTGGAGATTATTATGTGCCAAACCAACCTCTTTGCTTCCAGTACCCTGTCAACCATTGTCTCCTCTTAGCAGAGCTCTTTTCAGTAGGCACATGATAGCCGGCAGTCTATCCTTAACCGTTTTGCATGCATTGTACCGACATGCCCACCGTGTCTCTATCAGTCTTTGTAATTCTCTTGGTGCCCCCTGATACATTTCTCTCTGTACCTCTAGCCACTTTTTGATGACATCTGGACCCTGACACAAAAACATAGAAGCCTTCTGCAAAGCATAGAAAAAAACAATCTGCTTCATTGAGGCATTTCACACTGTCAACTAATACCAAATTTAAGCAGTGTGCATTGCAGTGCACATAGAAGGCTAATGGGGCCTCTGCCTTAATCCGTGCCTGGACACCTGTGTTTTTCCCACTCATGACAGAGGCCCCATCATAACCCTGTCCTACTAAGTGATTTCTGTAATCAAGTCCATACTTTTGCATTAATTGTATAATTTTCTGTGAAAGTGATGCAGCATCCAGGCGCTCTGGAGCTTCGAAGGCCAGAAAGCTTTCCACTATAGAGCCGTTATAGTAGTACCTAATTACAAAGGACATCTGTTCCTTCTTACTGATATCTTTTGTTTCATCAACCATAATGCTGAAGGCCTCACTTGAGCAACTTCCTTAATTATAGAGTTGCGCACCATTTCTGCTAGGCAGTCCAGCATTTTCGTTTGAGTTCCGTGACCCAGGTAAGTGGCATCTTTGACTTCATTTTTTATCCACTAATTTGTCATGTTTGGCCACCAGTTCCATGATGGTGAGGGAAATTTCCTCTGTTTTCACCATGTTCCTCATCATGAGCTCTTTGAGCAATATTCTGTGTTGCAGTAGAAGTAGGGTGTCACCTATAGTTTTAACATATTCACGGTTCTCTTGATTAATTTTTTCATGTCCTGAGCTCAGGGAGGCAGAGATGCTTGTGGCATTTGGGTCATAGTCTTTCCAGGAAACATGGCATTTCTATGGGATTCTGATTTTGCACTACGGGCTTAACCATCGCAGCAAAACCCTCAAACAGACAGAAGCGTAGTCAGAAATCCCGTCTGAGTAGCATTTACTTACCAAGTGCTTAAACCCTTCCGCTGTATATGCAGAATCCTTGAAGAGGGAGACTGAAATGCGACAGGGCATAACAGAAGGCAGCGTCTTTACTTTGGGAGTACTCAAGCCATTTATGGACAGTGTACAGTCTTTGATGAAGCTCCTTCTTTGACTGCCTACAAGGGTCGAGGGAAGAATCCGAGCTGTGGTTGTTTTGGGTCCTTCTGCTCTTGACTGGGATATATCTAGGATGAAATCACAAGGGAAATATCACTTTGATTACTAAAAAGAAGCATAAGAATACATTCCTCAAGATCAACACCAATTTACTGTACAACAGTCAAACAGAACATGAATATGTAATAACTCATAATTCAAAGTTGACAGCTAAAGCAATATATTTATCTCTACATTGGTATTGGTATACATTGGTCATCTCTGACATCAATTTTAGGTTCTGGACCATTTTAATTTACACTACTCCAGATCACTTAACCTCAGTAGCCTTTTTATACTGACAAAAAGTTCACATGCTACACCCATGTATAATCTTCCTCATATTCAACTGCCATCTACCCTCTCCTGTGGACAGTAGCAAGGATATCTATTTTATCTCTGTAACTTACCTGCTGGCCCAGGAACCGTCGCTGACACGGCGTGTTCTGTCCTGACACGGCG